GTCTTTTTGAGACAGGGTCTTCCTGTAGCCCCAGCTGGCCTGGAACACACTATGTAGACCAGGCTGGTCTTGATCTCACAGACACCCACCTGCCTCTGCCTCCCAAGTACTGGGATAACCACACTCTGCTTTTCCTTTATTTTGATTTCTTTTTCATTTATATGTGCACATGCATGCCTGTGCCCACAGAGGCCAGAAGAGAGCGTTGGAGCCTCTGGAGTTTTAGATGGTTGTGAACTGCCTGATATTGATGCTAGGAACCAAATTCAGGTCTTCTGCAAGCACTCCTAACCATTGAGTCATCTCTCCAGGCCCTCCAGATAGTTTCCTAAGACTATAGATAGCATATGCAGTGCTTACTACTAACCTAAACTGGGGGCCATTGGCGTGACCTCAACTCCTGTGGCTCTGTCAGGGAAAAAGCTTTCCAGGACCATGAGTCAGAGCTTTCCCCTGGCCCTGTTACTTCCTGGGAGCTCTCAGGCAGAAAAATGTACCACCGCAGGTCCTGGCCTAACAGCTTGGGGGACCACAGATGCAACAGAAACCATCCTCCTCTCCCGTGCCCTCCCATGTACCCCCTAGTGCTCAGGCATATACATGCTCATCACTCAGCTCTGATCCCATGACAGTATGCTCCAGTAAAGACTTAAATCTCCACTCTGGACCCCAAGCATCCCTTCCTGTCTCCACTGGGCCCCTAGTCCTCCAGGCAGCTGTGGGAACAGGAGTGGGTGGGGCAGGATGCAGGGGTGGGGAAGGGTGGAGCCAAGGCCCACTTCCTTTCCCCTTGGGGCCCAGTCAGCCCTAGTGCTGCCCAAGCCGCAGGAGGAGTTGGACCCCTGGTGCTGGCCCTGTGCCTTACCAATCAAGCCGGTAAGAGGGTTTGACCTAGGTGAGTGTGGAGGTGCTCAGAGGACCTGAGACTAGGATGATGGGAAAAGACAGTCAAGAGCCATTAGGTGGGACAGAATGAGTTCCACCATTTTCCACCTGCTCTACCAGGAGGGCACAGCCTGCTGGAGTCTGAGCCACCAAAGCTAGGGGTTGGGGGAGTCACTGTCAGTATCTATTCCCTTGTTATTTCTGATAATAGTAAAAGCAAGGGCGGAAAAAGCCGTTAAACCACAGGTCGGGTCTGGCAGTTGGCAGGGAAGTGGGCAGAAGGGAGGGCCTGGCCAGGTCCCCCTCAGCCCATGTGTTCTGTTTTTCCAACTTCCCCATGCTCAGGTCCCAACTCCTGCTGGCGCCTATTGCTTTGGAGATGGCCCTGCTTCTTCTCCTCTTTGGGGGCTTCTGGGCCCATGTGGTGAACCTAGAGAGCACAGCTGGTCTGACACCTATCCCAGAGGTCCCAAGTCCCTCTGAGGCCTTGACCAACAACACAGTGATCTCCAGTGGGCCAACGACAAGGGACTCTGAGGAGGTTGTCAGCAGCTGGACACAGACCCTAACCCTACCTTCCTCAACTCCCTTTGGAACCACTGAATTGCCCATTCTTGGGACTTCCAATCCCACCAACAATGCCACTCTTGTACCTGACCCTCTAACCTCCCAGGAAGTTTCCAGCAAGATGTTATCACTGCCTGTAGAAACATCAAATGCAACCAGTGATCCTGCTTTCACCATGGAATACTCCACTGTGACAGAAAAGACCATCATATTTAATTCTCTGGAAACCAGCAAAGAGACAAATGGATCCCTTGTCACCATGGGAACAGGCTCCAAGGAGACCAGTGGACACTCTGTTACCACTGCAACAAGCTCCAATGAGCCCAGTGGATCCTCTGTTACCACAGCAACAAGCACCAGTGAGACCAATGGACCCTTTGTCACCACAGCAACAAGCTCCAACAAAACCAGTGGTCCTCCTGTCACCATAACTACTGGGTCTCTGGAAACCTCCAATGAGATTCACGAACTCCCTACCACGATAGCAACCAGCACTATGGAGACTTCCAGTGTAACCAGTGGTGCCTCAGTCTCCATCATAAAAATAGCCATGATGTCTACCCCAGAGCCCACTATCAACACAAGCATACACCCCCAGGAATCAAATGGCAAATTGCTGGTACCTGTGCTCCTGGCCCTGCTGGTGGTTACAGTCCTTGTGGCACTGCTCCTGCTGTGGCGCCATAGGCAGAAGAGAAGGACTGGGGCCCTGACCCTGAGCAGAGGTGGAAAGCGCAATGGAGTAGTGGATGCTTGGGCTGGGCCAGCCCGGGTCCCTGATGAGGAGACCCCAACAATAGCAGGGCCCGGGGGTGATAAAGGCACTGGGGTCCCTGAGACAGAGGAGCTTGGGCCGCAGCCCATGCTCACCACTTTCTTTGGCAGTCGGAAATCTCATCAGGGCTCTCTAGTGCTGGAGGAGCTAAAACCTGGGTCAGGCCCTGACCTAAATGGGGAGGAAGAGCCGCTGGTGGGCACAGAGGATGAGGATGCAGAGACCCCTACTTCTGATGGGCCAGAAGCTAGAGATGGGACTGCTCCTCAGTGCTTTTAAATTCCCAGAGGTCCAAATCCTTGAGGCCTCCCTCACCTTCCCTGTAGCATCACTCCCACCCATCCCCATCCAGCATCATCCTCCAGCATGCTCTGGATTCCTGCTCAATGTCTCTCTCAGCCTGATCCTTAATCCTGGATCCTGCACCCAGCATCTTCACCCAGTATTGCATCTGTATCCCAGCCAGGGCCTGCACCTGCTGAATATTTGTGAACCTAATGCAACATTCTTCCTCCTCATCTTCTCCCCTCCCCCTTTCCTTTTCTCTCCTCCCTGTCCTTGGAACCAGTAGCTGAATCTTCCTGAAGAAAATCTCATTTGACTCATGGTTTCTTCAAGGACAGCCCCCCGCCCACCCAGGGATGCTGGAGTCTGAAAAGCACAAAATTTCCCTGGGATGAAACTTTGGGAAATATATGAGCCCCCTAGTCAGGACTTCTGTGCAGGAGCAGCTCCTGAACTTCCAATTTGCTTTGGGACAGCATGGAGCTTGGATGGGGCCATCCAACTATGCTCTCCAGTGGGCCTTCCCCAGAGTGCAGTGACTCAGTGCTGGTCCATAGCTCATACCTCGACACCCTCCCAGCTACTGTGGGAGGCAGGCAGAGGAAGACATGAAGAGTTTCTGGCCAAGTGAGGCTCCCAGAAGCCGAGACCTGCTGGATCCACTCAGAAGTGCGGTTTGTGTGCAAGATTACTAGGTGCTGATCTGAAGGGTACTGGCACTATAGACAGAGGGAGGGAGTGGGGCAGAGACTGGGAAGGTGTTACTCCAGCATGAGGGACACTGCTGGGAACACAGGCTTTTTGCTCACACAGGGTAGACAGAGCTGAAAATCTAAGTCTGGCTGTAGCCTCCCCACCTCCAGAAAATGCGAGCTTGATAGCAAATTTACAATCAAGTGTGGGTTCTTCAGTCAAACTACCATGTCCTTTCCTCAAAGGCTCCCTCACACCCTCATACCTGTCTCTCACCCCACGCACACACCCGCATGCACAGCAGCCAGAAGAGGAGAGGAATCAGCCCAACTGCAGGCACTGGGTGCCCAGAAACCACTGGTTCTGCTGATCCCTTCACCGTTCACTCTGTTTCCTCTTCCATTCCAAGGCTGAGCTCCTTCCCTTTTCTAAGGGGAGTAAGAAGGAGTTACATGAATGGATTCATTTAATACCATGAATGGAATGGAACATGGGTGCCAGGGACTCCCCTGAGGGTCTGGGGTAGAGAGAGAGGACTGGCCCCAGTTGTGCAGCCTCTGAGACCAGCCCACCCAAGAGGCATGTGGTCCAAAGGTGGTTGCTAGAGGAAATTTGTAAGAGGAAGCTGTTGAGTCAGAGGGCGCAGTCAGACTGTGAACAGATAGACTGACCTACAAAGAGATGAGACTGTGGGGTTGTATGGCCTGGATGGGGAAATGAAGGTGGGATATAGAGGCTCAGGTGGCTCATCTATGCAAGAGAGGGGAAGGGCAACATTGGATGGAACAGGACTTTGGATCAGCTGCCACCATGTCAGGCTGCCATCCCCCTCTCCCTGTGGGGAAGAGACTGGAAATCCAGCCTCCCACCAGCTAGCCAGGCCACACTGAGCCCATTCCTACTGCTCACAAGGTGCTGTGTGGGTCAACAAAGAAGGGCAGAAGTGAGTTGTGAAAGTCCCTTAAGGGATACAGCAACTGTTTTCTTAGATTGGTCAAGGGAGTGCCCCAATTTCAGGTTTGAGAGCACGGTCACAGAACTGAGAGGTCAAGAGCTTTTCCTCCCTCTTGATCCACAGTTGTCTTCTGAGCTGTTGCTGATTTTCAGTTGCTGGGGGACTCCTGAAGGAAATATGGTGGAGATTAGGGAAGGCACCCCACAGGACTTCTGTCCGGACAGTGTCAAAATGTCTGAATGTTAAATTGAGTTACAAGGGGCTGGAGAGATGGCTCAGCAGTTAAGAACACTGGTTGTTCTTGCAGAAGACCCGGGTTTGAATCCCAGCACCCACATGGCAGCTAATAACTGTCCATAACTCCTGTTCCAGGGGATCCGACAGCCTCGTCTGACCTCTGTGGGCATTGCACGACACAGGTGCACTTACCTACATGCAGGCAATACACGCATACACATAAAATAAAAATAATAAATAATAAATTTTAAAAAGTTTAAATTGTCAGCCGGGCGTGGTGGCACACGCCTGTAGTCCTAGCACTTGGGAGGCAGAGGCAGGCAGATAGATCTCTGTGAGTTCAAGGCCAGCTGGTGCTGCAGGGAGACCCTGCTTCAAAAAGACCAAAAAAAAAAAAAAGTTTAAATTGAGTTACAAACAAAAATAACAACAGTCACAAGGGCACCAAAGAAAGGGAGGGACATCCTGCCTCTGAAAGAAAGCAGGGAGACTTCCCCACATTTGACCCAGGGCTTTTGCACACCACTGCTCTTCTCCCAGTGTACCTGGCTGGCAGGTGCTCAGTGAATATGTGTATGAAAGAATGAAAGATGAATGAAGAGACGAGGTTTTGAAAATTAGGAAGGGGAAAAGTATTTTTAGCACAGGATCCAGAGGGTGCAGAAGTGCAGTGAGTGCAAGAAGGTTTGGGGGACATGGGAGGGACAGATGTCCTTCAGCTCCTGAGAGGGGGAAGCAGAGGAAGCAGGAGACAGGGCAAAGCCAGCGAACAACAAGGAAGGGAGAGGACGCAAAGTGCTCAAGAGCTATAGATGTGGGGAGTTAGGGAAATCATCGCAAGTGGCTCATCACTAACAACTCCCTTGCCAGCCATGTTTTCAGAAACTGTGTAATGATCTGGGAAATGCCTACAATTTGATATCAAGTGGGAAAAGCAAGTTACCTGTAATATCTGTAATCTATAACTACAGGTGGCTCTAGTTTTATAATAAAAACTAAATACATTCACATAACTAAATACATTCACAAAACTCACACTCATAGAATGAAAGAGAAATATCCCCAATGTTTAGTGTGGTTATCAATAAGGTGAGGGGTTTAGGTATGATTTTCATTTTGTTTATACCTTTCTGTATTTTCCAAGTTTTACACAATAAATGTCTATTACTTTTATTGCTATAAAAGATATTGGTGAAAAAGATGTTTCCTGGAGTGCCACGGTGGATGTGGTTGGAGAAGAGCTGTGGGGGAGGGGTCAGGGTCTCAGAGGAAGGCTTGGGGAGCATCAGTTTGGTTCTGAGAGTATTAGGGTGTCAAACAGGTCTGTCTGACCCAGGAGCTTCTACAGATGGTAAGTTCCAGCTTCATTTGGTTGCCCAGGCAACATGTCTTAGAACCATCCTCAAACCACTTTCCCTGTTGTTACTGCCCTGGCTTAAGTCAGCTGGCTCTTCTTGCTCCCTCCAGCCTTTCATCCTCCTGCATTGCTTCCTTCTTTCTCTCCAGAGCCCATCACACTTTCCTATGTCGCGCTGAGATTTCCTTCACTGGCCCCACCCCTCCTAAGTTCTAGTTTATTTTTATTGGATTCTTTTTTTTTGTAATATGGTGTGGCTTTTGTTTTTGCTTTTTTTTCATTTGTTTGTGTTTGGTTTTTAAATTATTTTTATGTGTATGAGTGTATTGCCTACATGTAGGTAGGTGCACCCATGTCATGCAATGCCCTCGGAGGTCAGAAGAGGGTGTCAGGTCCCCTGGAACTGGAGTTATGGCCAGTTGTTAGCTGCCATGTGGGTGCTGGGAATCGAACCCAGGTCCTCTGTAAGAGCAGCCAGTGTTCTTAACTGCTGAACCATCTCTCCAGACCCTGTGTTTGTTTTTGTATTGTTTTAAACAAGGTTATATGTACCCCAGGTTGTCCTCAAACTTGCTATGTAGCCGAGGCTAGCCTGGAACTCCTGATTGTTCTGCCCCTACCACCCATGTGCTAGGATTACAAGTATGTGCTACCATGCCTGGCTAGTATTCTTTTTTTTTTTTTTAAGGAGGAAAGGTTTATTTTGACTCGTTTTTGCCTTGTTTTGAGGCAGAGTCTCACTGTGTAGCCCAGGTTATCCTGGAACTCACAGTCTCCTGTCTCAGCCTTTCAAGTGCTGAGATTTCAGGCATGGGAAACCATGCCTTGCTAAAGTTTTATTTTTTGAATTGACATGCAGTAATTATTCAGATTTATGAGGGTACATGTGATGTTCATACACACACACACACATATATATATACATATATATGCAATGTATAGTAATCAAACCAGGGTAATTAACACATCCATCAACTCAGACATTCATCTGTTTTAGTGAAACATTCAAAATCTTCTCTTACAAGTCTGTAATCCCAGTACTTGGGAAGTGGCACAAGAGGATCAGGAGTTCGAGATCATCCTGGGTTACATTGCCAGTTTGAGGCTAGCCTGGGTTTCTTGAGGATCTGTCTCAAAATAAAGAAAAAAATAATAATAATGGAGCCTGAAGAGGTGGCTTAGTGGTTAAGAGCACTAGCTGAGCACTGGGTGCTCTTGCAGAGAACCTAGGTTCAATTCCCAGCACCCACACGGCAGCTAACAACTGTTCATAATGCCAGTTCCAGGGGAATCCAATGCCCTCTTCTGACCTCTGCAGCATGGCACGACATGGGTACACTTACACACATGCAGGCAATATACTCATACATATACAAGAGCACTGACTGCTCTTGCAAAGGACCCAGGTTCAATTCCCAGCACCCACATGGTGGCTACAAACCCTCCTTAACTCCAGTTCCAGGGGAATCTGAAGCCCTCTTCTGACCTCCGCGGCATTGCACGACATGGGTGCACTCACATACATGCAGGCAACACGCTCATATACATAAAATTTTTTGAAGCCTATAGTCATTCTACTGTTCATTAGAACACCAGGATTTAATTCTTCTAACTATAACTTTGTGCCACTGGCTGTCCTCACCCCTCTGTAGCTTCTGAGAAGTTCTTCTCTAAACTTTGATGAAATTCACTTTTTAGGTTTCATATATAAGTGAGACTGTGCGTATATGTGCACCTTTTGTTTTAAAATACATATTCTGGTCTGGGAGGTGTGTATAGCTAAGGGACAGTGTTTATCCTCAGAACAGCATAAAATCAGTAAAACAAATAAATATCTGTAATCATAACACTTGGGAGGTAAAGGCAGGAGGATCAGAAGTTCAAGGTCATTCTTAGTTCATAGTGTGTTCAAGGCCAGCCTAGCTGGGATACATGAGACCCTATCTCAAAAAGAAAAGCAAAAAGAAAAAAAAAAAACCATAAATAAAATTCAACTTCCTACTTCACTCTCAAAGGCACACATTAAGGTCATCATTAGAGGACTTGGGATGTAGCTCAGTGGTAGAGCACTTGCCTAACACACGCGGAAAGCCCTGCATTTTATCCCCAGCACTGAGAAAGACAGAGAGAGAGGGGAGGGGGAAGAAGGGAAGAAGGGAAGGCCAGAGGAGGCAGCAGGGAAGGGGGAAAAATATGATTTCAAATAAGGTTTGCCATCCTAAGTGAAAATTCCGGTTAGAAGGAAGATCCCAGGAAAGCCCTCATAAGAGGCCTCCTCCTAGCTGAGGGAAATTCCTTTCTGACAATGCACAGTTACAGCTGCTACTGCTTGCTCCCCCATCTCTGACCCTGATTGTGTTTGTTGAGCAGAGTGGACAAAGCCTGGGAAGAAGGATAGGGCTCCCTGTGAACTCTGAAAACCAGGCCCCACCCCTGAGCCATGATGCTCAGCCTATGTGTGGCAGGTGGCAGATCACCCACTGTTAGCAAACAAGAAAGGAATAGAACCAAACGGTTCTTTAATTCCCCAAATAGAAACACAAGCAGGAGAAAATGCCCAAGCCCTAAAGGGAGGCCTAGACCTAGGTACCTAGACAGGGGCGGAGTTGGGGGCACCTAATTATTCTCAGCTGAGTTGCAAGCAGACACCTGTGTACCCAGCCCCCTGTGGTTTGTGACATCAGGATGGTCTGGCTGCACCTTGGCCAATGTCCTGTGAAGGCAGAACCCATTGTTAGCCAAGAGTGCCACCTGCTCAGCTCTGCTTTTGTACCCACTCTGCCTGAAGCCAGCCCACCCCCAGCTGTCCTCACAGTACACCCAGCATGACTTCCCACCAAACTCCTCCTCCACTGTCAGGATTCCACCCAAATGTCACTGCCTTAGGGAAGCTGCTCTCCTTCCCTGCCATCTCTGCAAATAGACTGTTCTCCACTGCTACAGCACCTTGTGTGATGGCATGAGTGACGGGTTGCATGGTTTTTGGTTCTTGATTTGTTGCTTAGTTGGTTTGGTTTTGAGATAAGGTCTCATGTAGCCCAGGTTGGCCTTGAACTCACTATGTAGCAGAGGACAACCTTGAACTTATTGTGTGTGTGTGTGTGTGTGCGTGTTCCTATGGAGGCCAGAGGAGGATATCTAGCCGTCTCTACCCTATTCCCTCGAGACAAGATCTCTCACTGAACCTAGACCTTTCAGTTTTTTCAGCTAGGCTGGTGGTCAGCAAGCTCTAGTGACCCTCCTGTATCTACCGCCTCCCCTCACCATGGCCAACCATTTCCCCAGCCCCTGGTCTTGAAATTCTGATTCCCCTGCTTCCACCTCCTGAGTCCTGCGGTTATAGGTGTATGACACTATGCCCTGAGTGCAGTGATGGGGGTCAAACCCAGGGCTTCATTCATGCTAAGCAAGCAAGCCAACAACTGAGTTACATGATTGGGTCGTGTGTATGTGACGGTGTTGGAACATGAGCCCTTCCAATGCAGACACATATTGTCTTTGCAGCTCAAGAGTCCAAGTCCTAGGGGCTAGAGAGATGGCTCAGTGGTGAAGAGCACTTGCTGCTCTTGCAGAGGATCTGGGTTCAGTTCCCAGCACCCACATGGCAGCTAACGACCATCCTAACTCCAGATCCAGGGGATCCTGTGTCCTCTTCTGACCTCTGTGGGCATTGCATGACATGGGTGCACAAACCCTACAGGCATAAAATTAAAAAATTGAAAAATATTTTTAAAAAAAAAGTCCAATCCTAACAGATAGCAGCTACTGAATATGTGGTTATTGGGTGGAGGGATGAACAAATAAATGAAACAATGTTTTTTTTGGTTTTTTGGAGGTTCTTTTTGTTGTTCGTTTTTTGGTCTTTTTGAGACAGGGCCTCCCTGTAGCCCCAACTGACCTGGAACTTGCTATGTAGACCAGGCTATCAGGCCTACCAAGGCTCCTTCAGAGCTGCCATACCATTCTGCCTGGGCAGGATTCTGACTTAGAGGCGGGGGTGTCAGTCATAATCCCACAGATGGTAGCTTTTCTCCACTGGCTCCTCAGCCAAGCACATACACCAAATGTCTGAACCTGGGTTCCTGTTGTACTGAGCAGGATTACCAAGGCAACAACAAACACATCATCAGTAGGGTAAAACTAACCTGTCTCATGCCAGTCTAAACCCAGCTCACGTTCCCTATTAGTGGGTGAACAATCCAACACTTGGTGAATGCTGCTTCACAATGACAGGAAGAGCTGCCAACATTGAAGGATCAAAAAGCAACGTCGCTGTGAATGCTTGGCCACCACAAGCCAGTTAACCCTGTGGTAACTTTTCTGACATCTTGTGCTTAAAACCCAAAGGGATCACGAGGCCCCGCTTTCACGGTCTGTATTTATACTGAAAATCAAGATCAAGCGAGCTTTTGTGCTTCTGCTCAGGCTGGCCTTGAACTCACAGAGATCTGCCTGCCTCTGCCTTCCCAGTGCTGGGATTAAAGGCATGCACCACCATGCCCAGCTATGAACTATGATTTTTTTTTTCTTTTTTTGTCTTTTTGAAACAGGGTCTCCCTGTAGCCCCAGCTGTCCTGGAACTCACTATGTAGACCAGGCTGGCCTTGATCTCACAAAGATCTGCCTGCCTCTGCCTCCCGAATGCTGGGATTAAAGGTGGGCGCAACCACGCCCGGCCAGATCTGTGACTTTAAAATGAACATATGACGTGAGGAAGTTGTGAGCCAAAGTGAGAGCATCATTCTATTACTGCTTGGAGATCACTCAAGATAGAAGAAAAGGCCAAGTCTAAAATAGATCTAGTCAGAAAATAAGGTTTTTAGAGTAAATGAATTGGCGGCTGAAGAGATGGCTCAGCAGTTGAGCACTGGCTGCTCTTGCAGAAGACCTGGGTTCAATTCCAGGGGATTCAATGCCCTCTTCTGGCCTCAAGGGGCATTACATGACAGGGGTGCACTTACATACATGCGGGCAAGACACCCATAGGCAGAAAGAAAAAAAAAATCCAGCTGTGGTAGTACACACCTTTAATCCCAGTACTCTGGAGGCAGAGGCAGGTGGATCTCTGTGAGATCAAGATAAGCCTGTTCTACATAATGAGTTCCAGGCCAGCTAGGGCTGCAGGGAGGCCCCGTCTGAAAAGAACAAACAAATAAAAGGTGATTGGTTATTCCCATAATATTTGTGCCACTATTGCACCAGTAATCATATCACTTTCTCTTTTTTAATATTTTGTTATTTTTATGTGTATGAGTGTATTGGCTGCATGTATCCAAGTGCACCCATGTTGTGCAATGCCTTCGGAGATCAGAAGAGGGCATCGGATCTCCTGGAACTGGAGTTACAGACAGCTGTTAGCGACCACATGGGTGCCTGGAATCAAACCTAGGTCCTCTTAACCACTCAGCCAGCACTCCAGCCCTGTTTGTTTTGTTTTGAGATGAGTCTCACTATGTGACCCAGGCTGGTTTCAAACTCCCAAGTGTGGTCCTCCTGCTTCAACCTCCCAAGTAGCTGGGATTTCAGGCATGAGCTATGGTGACTAGCTGAAGATCAATTGTAGTAATGGTGTCAGTGGATAAGTACAGAATCATATCAACACTGTTCTGTTGTAATGGTCATACCACCATGTCCAGCAGAAAAACTCGAGTTTGATCACTGACATTTGGGGTATGCTTGTTCAGCAGTTAGCCTGACCCATACATAATCCCAGTACTCAGGATTCTGAGGCATGAGGATCATGAATTCAAGGCTAGCCTATGCTATATACACGCTAAGACTCTCTTTCAATCACAACAAAAAAAGTCCAGTGATGGAGAGATGGCTCGGTGGTTAAGAGCACTGGCTACTCTTGCAGAGGACCTGGGCTCTGTTCCCAGCACCCACATGGTGGCTAACAGTCCTCTGTAACTTCATTTCCAGGGAATCCAATGCACTCATCTGACCTCCACTGGCATTGCACGACACCAGTGTACTTACATCCAGGCAAAACACTCATACACATAAAATAAAAAAGAAATGAATCAAAAAAATGTGTGCATGTGTGGGGTCCATTGAGGTGGCTCAGTGGGTGAAAGCACTTGTCTCCAAGCCTAACAACCTAAATGCAATCCCTAGAACCCATATGGTAGGAGGAGAGAACCAAGACCTGCAAGTTGTTCTGTGACCTCCATCCACATGGGCACTGTAGCACTTACCCCTCAGCACACAAAATACTAAATAGATAAATAAAGACGGGTATGGTGATGCACTCCTTTAATAACCATACAGAAGCAGGTAGCTCCCTGTGAGTTCCAGGCCAACCTGGTCTACATAGTGAGTTCTAGGCCAGCATGGCTACATAGTGAGACCCTGTCTCAAATAAATAAAAATAATGGTTAAAATGTTTAAAATGAGCCAGGTGTGGTGGCACATGCCTTTAATCCCAGCACTTGGGAGGCAGAGGCAGGTGGATCATCTGTGAGTTCAAGGCCAGCCTGTTCTACAGAGTGACTTCCAGGCCAGCTGGAGCTACAGGGAGACCCTGTCTCAAAAAGACAAAAATAAAATAATAATAATAATAAAATAAAAAAATAAACAGCCTGGGGATGTAGCTCAGTTGGTAGAATGCTTAGCTAGCACCTATCCTCACCTATAGCAAGTTTGAGACCAGCCTCAGCTACCTGAGATGGGTTTTCCCACTTCAACCTAAAAAAAAAAGATAAGGGAAAAGAAAAGAGGAGCTGGGAAGACGGCTCAGAGGGTAGGACGCTTGCCCCACAAAACTTGATTATCTAGGTTTGCATTCCCAGCACCCACATTTTAAAAAGTCCCAAAGTGGCTCAGCAGTTAAGCACACTGACTGCTCTTACAGAGGATCTGATTCCCAGCACCCACATGGTGGCTGCAAACCATCCTTAACTCCAGTTCCAGAGGAATCCGAAGCTCTCTTCTGATCTCCACGGCACTGCAGGAAATAGGTGCACTTACATACAAGCAGGCAATACACTCATACACATAAAAAAACAATAAATAAAATATTTTTTAAAGTCCAAAAGTAGCCAGGCACTGTGGCACACACCCTTAATCCCAGCACTTGGGAGGCAGAGGCAGGCAGATCTCTGTGAGTTCCAGGCCAGCCTGGTCTACACAGCCAGTTCCAGGCTAATCAGTGCTACATAGTGAGATGCTGTCTTAAAAAATAAGAAGCCAGGGGCTGGAGAGATGGCTCAGTAGTTAAGAGCACTGGCTGTTCTTGCATATGACCCAGGTTCAGTTCCCAGCACCCACATAGCAGCTAACAATCATCTGTAACTTCAGTTCCAGGGGATCTGACACCCACTTCTGACCTCCATGGACACTGCATGCACATATATTACATATAGGCAATTCATTTATATACTCAATAAATTGAGCCATGGTGGTGGTGCTTAATCCAAACACTCTGGAGGCAGAGTCAGGTGGATCTCTGTGAGTTCCAAGCCAGCCTGATCTACATATTGAGTTCAAACCAGCCAGGGCTACTTAGTGAGCTTCTGTCTTGAGATGAGTGAGAGAGAGAGAGAGAGAGAGAGAGAGAGAGAGAGAGAGAATGGAGAACCTCAGTTGAGGAACTTCCTCCATCAGATTGGCCTGTGGGAATGTCTGTGGGGCATTTTCTTGACTGCTAACTGATGTAGGAGGGCCCAGCCCTTTGTGGACAGTATCATCCCTGGGAGGGTAGGTCTGGGCTGTATGAGCAAGGCAGCTGGGCAGGCCAGGGGAAGCAAGCTCCGTGGTTTTGGCTTTAAGTTCTTGCCTTGAGCTCCTGCCTTACTTTCCTTAATGACAGGCTGTAACCTGTGTGCTGGATAGTTTTAGTGTCAACTTGACACACCTGGGTTGAGGGAGCCTCAATTGGGGAATTGCCTCTATTGGACTCGCCTGTGGTCATGTCTGAAGGGCATCTTCTTGATGAGTGATGTGGGAGGGCCCAGCCCACTGTGGGTGGTGCCGCCCCTGGGCAGGTGGGCCTGTGTTGCATAAGAAAGCAGGCTGAGCAGGGGCCAGGGGAGCAAGCCTGTAAGCAGCGTTCCTCCATGGCCTGTGCTCTAGCTCCTGCCTCCAGGTTCCTGCCCTGAGTTCCTACCTCAGGCTCCCTGATGAACTGTGACCCGGGAGATGTAAGATAAAATAAACCCTTTCCTCCCCACGCTGGTAGTGGTCAGAGTATTTTGTCACAGCAATGAAGAAGCAAACTAAGACAACCTGTAAGCTGAAATAACCCCTTCCTCCCCAAGTTGCTTTTGGTCAGAGTGTTTAGCACAGCAGTAGAAAAGCAAACTAGAACATCCATGATTTCCCAGTGCATCATTAACAAGGCTCTTGGCCCTCACAGGGAAGCGCAGTCTTACATTCACAGCCTCATACTCTGAAGAACCCTAGGAAGACTGAAGTAGGAGAAAACTGGGCCTCTGTGGTGCCAGAGACAGGATTTCTGAATTCCACATCTGAGCACATCTCTTGGACTTTGGGCCACGCTCTGGGGCTGGCCCAGCGAGGGTCCTGGAGGTGGGCGGGAAGGCCTCTGGGCAGGACTAACCAGCCGGCCACTCCCTCCCTCCCCTTCCTCCCCTCCGTCTGGCCGCCCCACCTCCAGCTTCAGCCTCTGGAAACAGCAGATCTGAGCAGTGGTGGACACACTGACCAACCTCTCCTAGTCGCCATGGACCCTGAAGGTGACGGAAAACTCTACTTTGTGTCGCTGTGTCCCCCGCCTTTCCTACTGCCTATCCCTCTCCCCATCCCTGCCATCTCTTCTCTTCTTTTCTCTTCTCTGTAAAACTCCGCTTTGCCCTCTGGCCTCTCTCGGACCTTCTTCCCAACTGCGCCTCTCTCTTACTTGGCTGAACCCCCAAAGTTCTGTTGCCTCACGATCTCCTTTGTTGAGCCCTAGGAAAGCCTGGCAGATGGAAGCTGGAGGAGGCTAGTGTGCTGTGGGGCAGATGGACCGGTAGTGGGAGTCTGGATGGGGGAGCAGCCTGGACTCTGCCCTTTGCTAGCAGCCAGGAGAGGCAAAGTTCTGCCTCATTCTGGCTGGCGGGGGAGGGGCTGGAGTCCTGCCCTTGCATGGGAGTGAGCCTGCATGCAGGTCACTGGAGTCAGGCTTTGGACTCACAGCACCCATTTGCGTCCAGGGTGCACCGAGGACAGGCTGTAAGTGGGTAGGTCAGCGCCTCCTCTTGCATCTGTAAAAATGATAATAGTATTGGGGCTAGGATGCAGCTCTGTGGTAGAGCACTTTGTTCAGTGTGCACAAGGCCCCAGGCTCCGTCCTCAGATGACAGGAGCTGGCAGGTATGTGACCCTTCTGAGCTTCTTGTATTGTCACTTTCCTTCCCTCCTCCTGGCTTGGCATCCCTCTACTTCAACTGTGGAGCCTGCTGTGGTAGGACGACACACTGGGTACCTGCCTGTCCCCTTTTGAAGTAACACTGAGCTGAATTTGAGTTCCAACTACCACTCACCACCAAGGGAACCTTGGGATGTTACTAGCCCTGTAGGAGCCTAAGTTTCTGCACCTGGAAGATGGAGTTGATGGCACCAGCCTCCAGGGCTGCAGGAAGGCTTAGCTCTAGCTACCTCCTGCATGTCAAAGCATCTAGGCTAGTGCCTATAGGACTGGGGTTCTTTACTGAAAAAACATGACTTTCAGGAGTGAATGAACCCCTAAAATGTGTATATGAAATTCTGAAAGCATAGTAGTATATTTTTTCTGAAAAAGGGGTTCATAATTTTCATCAGACTCAGATTTTTGGTTTTTTAATTTTATTATTATTATTATTATTATTATTATTATTGTGTGTGTGTGATGCATGTGTGAGGTCACACATGTCACAGTGTGTGTGTGGAGGTCAGAGGACGTCTGTACAGAGTCTGTTTTCTCCTTCTATCATGTGGGTTCCAGGATTGAACTCAGGTCATCAGGTTTGGCAGCAAGCACCCTAATTCACAGAGTCATCTCACTGGCTCTTAATATTTAAACTTTAATAGTCTTTTTTTTTTTCTCTTTTTGTCTTTTTGAAACAGGTGTCCCTGTAGCTCCAGCTGTCCTAGAACTCATTATGTAGACCAGGCTGGCCTTGAACTCACAGAGATCTGCCTGCCTCTGCCTCCCAAGTGCTGGGACTACAGGTGTGTGCCACCACGTCCAGCCTTAATAGTCATTTTTTCATCCTCTGACTTCTGATCAAAATTCTGCAGTGACTTCCTGTCACCTAGTAAGCAGAGCCGGCTTCTGATCTCTCCTCCAAGCCGGGCTCAGCCTGGCTTATCCCATGACTAATTGAGTAAGGTCTCTCTCCCTCTTCCCTCTGTCCCTGAACCCCATCTACAACAGCCTGTCTCCCTAGGTGGCTTGCGGCCTCTCTCTTTGCCACTGAGAATTCTCTCTGGTCAAAGTCTGACCTGCCCTCAGAGCTGTCCCTTTCTAGCCTTCTCTTTTGCCCTCGCATTTTAATGACAGGTCACCCCATCCTGAAACTGTGCATTCCAATCCAGCACTTGGGTGATAAGAGATCATGCTGTGCCCTATTCAGAAGTCATTTCTGTTCCCTAAGAGAAAGAATTTTTCAGGAAGCTACTGCACTGACCAGCCTCTGTCTCCACCTGGTGTTTGTTGAATTAATGAATCAAAAACAACCAGAAGGAAGAAGAACTTGCTATGAGTAAGGTTCCTGAGTCCAGAAGGAGCTGGCCAGGCCTGACATCGGGCACAGTTACCCTCTGTCCCCACAGCAGGCAGCCCTGTGATCTCCTGGTAAAACTCACCTTCAGAGAGGATGATTATTTGTCCAAGGGAACATGGGGTGGAGTCAGAATCAAAACCTGAGGTTTCTGACTCTTAATCCAGCCCATTCTTGGTGTGCCAGGGGCAGAGCCCTGGAACCTTGGGTATAGCTTGCAGGAACATTGATTTAACAAATAATTATAATTAAAACCAGACCTTACTGCTAAATTCAGTGGCAGTGTGGTTGATACCAGAGTTTTAGGGGAAAAGACACGGGTCCAGGAATCCCAAGAGATTATGCCCTTTCACCTGTCCCAAGCCCTCAATTAAAGAGATGGTCAACTGGGAAAGGCAGAAGAGAGGTTTAATCAGCGTGGCCTTATGGAGGAGAGGAGGAGATAAAGAGGTTCAGTGACCCAAGTCCTTTATCCTGCAGGGTTGGCATGAGCTTTGGATTTACTAGAGGAAGGCTGGGACAAGGCGGTGCATGATAAGCAGATGGCTGTTGTGGGCTGCTCATCCTTTTCTCAGTTCTGGAGCTTCGAGGCTGGAGGGGAGTACTCTGGTTGCCCAAGCTGATCACTCCTACTCCAGGGCAGCCTTGGCACCACAGACACAGGCCCCCATTGGAGGGTGGTCTATCCTATAAGGGGCACCGTTGCTTGGGGTAGTTTTGGTCCTTTGTCATTAAAAATTTCTATCACCAGCCCTGCTGGACTCCAAGGTGACTGCAGGAGTGACTCAAGACAAAGAATTTTAAAGGGTAAAAATAGAGCCAGAGAGGAGGCAACAGCTAGGCCAGTGACTAGCCCTTCTTGGAGGTGAGGTGAGGTGAATAGATGGATCCCTGACTTTGCCTGACCAGGCTCCTGACCCCAACCCTGTGCTGTCTGAACTTTGGGCCGGTTACTCTCTCTCTTTTATCTCCATTTCCTTATCTATAAAATGGACAGAATCACAGTACCCACCTCTTAGGGTGGTTGTGAAGATTAATTGTAAGCATCCTGGCAAGAATTCCTTTGTTTCTGTGTCTGTCTGCATGTTTGGGGGGTATGAATATGTGTGATCTGTGGGTGTAGGTGCACATGCATGTGTGCATGTGGAGGTCAGAGGTCAATCTGTCATCCCCCAGGAGCCATTCACTTACTTTAGTTTGGTTGTTGTTGGCTTATTATTATTGTTGTTGTTATTTAGCTATGCCTGGCTTATATGTGGATTCTGAGGATCCAAACTTCCAAATTCCAATATTCATTCTAGCACTTTTGAGATGGTCTCTCAACATCCTAGAGCTCACAAAAGTAGAGCAAGCTGACTGACCAAAGAGTCCCAGAGATCTCTTTTCCTAGTGCTAGGGTTACACACCAGAGCCACTTAGCATCCCTGGCTTTTTGAGACAGGACCTCATGTGGCCCAGGCTGGCTGAGACTGACCTTGAATTCTAGTCCTGCCTCCTTTTGAATGCTGGAATTACAGGTGTGCACCAGTGTTATGCTGTGCTGGGCATGGGATCCTTTGTTTCCTTCATGCTAGGCAAGCACACCACCAACTGAGCCACATCCCCAATCCTGAGATCAGTTTTGTTCATCCCAGATAACCAATTAAGAAGGTATCCTCTTCAGAGATCAGGGTTCTGTCCCACAGAATGGAATGATCCTGTATGCAGCCCAGGCCCATGGGAGGGACTTCTACACCTAAGGAGAATCAGCCACAGCTGGCACAGCTGCCCGCTAGGCTGCTGGCAGCGCCAGCCTTCTGGCTCTTCCCCCTGCACCTCAGCACCGCCCCCTCCCCAAGTTAGTGCCTTTCCGGGAGCCTGCTAATTAGGAGAGCCTCCTGAATACCTTTTGTGGGACCTGAAGAACACCAGATGTGTTTGTTTACTTTCACAACTGGAGCTTGGCAGAATGAACAGTGTGCCCTACACCAGGCAATCAAAACAGCTGATCAAGAAGCTGGCGTGGGGGAAACTCCCAGAGGTGAAGCAGCTGGGTTAGCCTGTGGGGCGGGAAGGGCAGTCCCTGCCCCAGGCTCTAGTTTAATCATTTTCTAGCTCTGCTCTTCAGGAAGTTTTCCTTGATATTTCCGAGCCTTGCTTTTCCATCTATAAATACAAATCCTGTGCTAGGATTTGTGACAAAATGCAGTGAGTGCCTAGGTGTGGTGGGCACCAGGGTAGGGCAGCTATTACTCTCCATGTACACAGAAGCTCTACTGGGAAATAGACTTCTGTTGCACATTCCAGATAAATTATGTGGGAATCCCCAGAGCCGGGACCAGGCCTAGGAATGAGCTTTCTGCGCAGTTCACCACCTAATTCATTTGTGTAGCAGAGGCTGAGAGCCACTGCCCTGTTTTTATTATACTGTCATTTAGAATAGGAAAAAATATATTTTGTTTTTTTGTCCTTAGTTCCTGGCCAGAGCATTCTTTTTTTTTTTTTGTCTTTTTGAGACAGGGTCTCCCTGTAGCCCCAGCTGTCCTGGAACTCACTATGTAGACCAGGCTGGCCTTGAACTCACAGAGATCCACCTGCCTCTGCTGGGATTAAAGGACTGCGTCACGCCCGGCTGCCAGAGCATTCTTATAAACCATGAGCCATGGAAAGCCTAGGAGAACCTTTGTTCTAACACTTAGTCTCCTGACCCAGCACTTTATCATTTGGGTTTCCTGGGGCTAGGAGAGCCTTTGGCTCTATAGAGGCTGCTCGAAATGAGCTTCTAGATAGGAGGGGTCAGCAGAAAGATCAAAGTCTAATTGGAAGCCAGGATCCTTCAGTGATATCAGCTGTGCCCAGGAAGGGAATGGGGACTAGGGAATGAGTTAAGAATCTGACACTAATGTGATCAAGCCACTGTAGAAATCCCTGAAACAAGGGCAGGGGGCACAGCTCAGTGGCCCAGTGCTTGCCTAGCAAGCCCAAGGTCCTGGTTCAATCCCCAGTATTAAAAA